CAGGAATGAACGGAGGGGGCGTACGCAGTGAATAGGGATCTCCTGACAGCTGCTTGAGGTCCCTATCTTGAAGGAACTCAAGCCCAAATTGCCAATCCGGGACAAAATCATCCCCGGTCTTCGGGTATTTCAAGTGCAATAGGCGGGGACGCGCTGGGCCTGGCTGGGGACCGGAGCCGCCAGGGGCCTCGCGCGCGACGGGCTGGGCAGGGGACCAGGGGGCGGCGAAAGCTGCAGGCCTCACACTCACAACGGTTACTCCGCTTGAGTCTGACCACGGTCAGTGCCCCGTCCCCACTCGATTCCGGGGACCCTTTCCCACCTGTCCCTGCGGACGGCACTCGGCGTTTCCGTGAACGTCACATCCGGTGTCCGCCCCACCCACTACCGCTGGTCTGTAAGAGTTACAATCCCAAGAATTTAGGACACTGTGGGCAATTGGTGGGCGGGGCTAGAACAGCCACCTGCTGAAAATCCGACCAATGAGGAGAGAGCTCGACGGCGGCCATTTTGGTAAAGGAAAGCACTTGTTTTTTAGAATTATTTTCATTTGGGGTGGGGCTGCCTGTCAGTCCCTCTATCACGTACAAATCCAGCATTGAAGAGGAATTGCTGATCTGAAGTACCTGGCTAAACTAACCAGGGTTTCTAAATCGGGGAAAGGAAAACAGAAAATTTTGGCTTGTTTGTGTTAATTTCTACACAAAATTGATGGCCTGAGGTATTAGGCAGTCACTTTTCATAGCCTAGAAAAGAACTTAAAGTTAATTTGTAATGTCAGAACACCAATAAAATTTATTTAAAATGGATGTTTAATTTCTAAGGGTCACTGTACAGAGCAATAGGGACACAAAGATCTGTATGACACAGGTTTTGCCTCTGTGCCCAGGATAAGACGGTTATTTACACCAAATACAAATAGAGTAGCACATTCTGTGTGTGTATATGTGTATGTATGAATATATGAACAGCCTTTTCCCAAAAGTGTCCTGCAAGCTAGAAAAAGATATGGGATAAGCTATTTGAAAAAAGGGAAATGCAGCAAGTGCACTGGGATCTTTTACACTTGTGTATAACAAATGAACGCAAATTATGTTCCTTTTCAGTTGGAGTTGGAATTACCTGATGAAGAATTTCCTTGAGAAGGCGGCTACAGTAAAACTAGTAACATTAGGATGAATCTCAGAGTTGGAGCTCCACCTACAGTTTGTTTCAAGAGTGGTATCTTCTGTCAACAAGAAAAAATCTAGTTGGGAAAATGAATTCTTATGCGTGCTTGGAAAGGTTTTCAATATATGTGTATTAATGCAATGCTTAAATGTGTACATAAAGGGTCAATTTTATTTGAGACATATTTTCTTTTGTTACCTGCTATTTAGGTGAATTATATAATTTATTTCCTAATAACTCAAAGCCTTTTTAAGTAACAGTGCCATTCTCAAAATTACAAATTTCAGCAAGATTTAAATGAAGTAAGGAATTTTAGGGCTATTCTAATCGGACACTTTGGATTGAAGGATTTTGTCATTTTATATTTGGTCTATGTATTTTCTTTGCAAAAATATCGGCGTATGACCAGGCACTATAACTTTGAATGTGAGATAGAATTGCACATATTTCTACTCTGAAAAACATCCATTCCATCATTCAACTAACATTTATTGAGTACCTGCAATATTTAATAAATATTAGTTGAATGATGGAATGAATGTGAATTACCTCTGAAGTCCGACTAGTTGAGTTCAAACCCCAGCTCCCCCAATTGCTAGATCTTAATCTTGAGCAAATATTTGACACTCTCCAAGCCTATCTCCTTATCTGTGAAATGTGTAATTTAGCCTGGTGCTGCCTGGCACAAAATAAACTTTCAATAAATGTAAATTATTAGTGGAAACAACTCAAATGTCCTTCAACTGATGAATGAATAAACGAATGTGGTAGATCCATATGATAGAATATAACACAGTTATAAAAATGAAGCACTGACACATGCTACAACATGGACTTTGAAAATTTGACACTGAAAGAAGCCAGCCACAAAAGTCACATATTGTATTATTTTATATATATTAAATGTCCAGAAAAGGCACATCCATAGAGACAGAATGCAGATTAGTGCTTGCTGGGGACTGGAGCCAGAAAGGAGCAAGGAGTGACTGCTAATGGTTAAGGGAGTTTCTTTTTGGGTTGATAAAAATGTTATGTGTTAGATAATGGTGATGGTTGCACAAGCTTGTGATTGTACTAAATGCCACTGAATTCATAATTTCAAAAGGTGAATTCTATGGTATGTAAATTAAATCTCAATAAAAAAATAAATTAAAACATTTTCTCATGGTGAGGATCTCCATATCTCCCCTTCCTCTACTCCATTCCCTTTCATGCCCACCCACCCCCACTTTCCCCGATCCCTTGCTTCCTCCAGCCGCCCGCAGGTCTCTGAAGAAGCGCCTTTGAACTGGCTGGCGCCTGCGTCCTCCGGGCTATTTCAGCAGCAGCCCAGTGCGCATGCGCGCCCATTGCTCTCAACCAGTGGACATGGACGCTTCCGGCGGGTTTTTCTCGTGGGCTTCAGTTGATGGCGGTATTTAGAAAAGGTGGCACGTGCGGGCCGGTTGATGGAGGGGGACTTGATCGGCCCCTCAAGTTAATATGTAGGCCCCTTCCGAAGTTTGATCTCATTTACCAGTAACCTCTGGATGCTGTGCTCTGAAAGCTATGTTGGCCCTGTACAGACACTTGCAAATATTGAGGACTTGGGGAGGCATATAAGCCTCCAATTGAGGCTTTGCTCCACCACATGCAATGTTACCTCAGCCCATTGCTGAACTTCACTCGAGGCATAGTGACACTGGCCTTGCATGTTGTGAAGGTTAACTGAAGTACTGCATTAGTGGGCCTGTTGCATAGGTGTTGAGTAAATGATCATTTAGATCCCATGCCTGCTCTGGGTGGGCCTCCTGCTGTAGCAGTTCACTTGACTAGGACCCTGTTAGCAGCTTCCCCAGGAATAACTTTGAGCCCTTTCCACTCTTACCACTCGTCTGATTCCCCTGATTTGTACTCACTTTTTCCAAACAGTTATACACATGGAAAAGGCAACCCAAACTTTCCACTCGTCTGATTCCCCTGATTTGTACTCACTTTTTCCAACTACAGTTATACATGGAAAAGGCAACCCAAACCTTTTGGAAATGTGTCCTGAATCTGTTTTCTAAAATACCTATCTGGTGGTTGTGAGACATAAGGCCTGCCTCCACGAGAGACTTTTTACATTTCTCCTGGCCAACCTAGACTCATCTTCTGCCATGTTCACCCTATTCAAATTTTACTCTTTTAACCCTAATCTCAGACCCTGCTGCTTCTGCCATTTTCCCCACTCTCGCTTCTTTTTGTAAACTTAGAAGATCTCTCCACTTTTGACCCTGGACCAAGTTTCTTCCTCTTTCCTCAATTTTTATCGCCTTTCCCTCATTCTCTCATCAAACTTCCAATTCTTTCTCATACAACCTTTAATCCCCACCCTCACCAAAGAAAAACCACAGTTAATAGCATTTCAAAACTCAAAAGGCTTCTTTATTACTCATCTATTAATTCTATTACATTTATTTTAGTTTTATTGTTTTAAAATATATCAGAATAAATAGAGAAATTTTATCTATCTATGGAAAAACAGCTGGTATCTAAAGGAGCAGCAACAATCCTAGCACTTTATATTGCATAGCCGTAGTATCGAGCAATTTCCATATCTTTTTCCCTCTCAATGAAAAACTGCACTTTCCCCAAAGAGGTGTATTTGGCAGCATTCTCACGCTCTTGTTGAGCCTTCCTTTTCATGGCCTCCCGCTCTGGCCTTTGCTCTTTTGTGATGGGCTTTGACATCACTGGCTCAGGGACATTCGGTTTCCTCCATGGAATTGGTTGGAAGCCGAAGTCTTGGATAAGATATTGGGTTTGAGGCTTAGGTGGAGACTGGACCTTGGTTACAGCAGTGGTAACAGGCTCCCGCTGGAGAGAAGTGCAGGATGATGTTTTGTAGGGCACAGGCCTAGAAGCAGCAGACTGAGAGACACTAGGCCGGGTAGGGTTCGTCAAACCTGGTCGGGTTGGGTTGCTCAAAACTGGCCGAGATGGTCTGGCAGGACCTGTTAAAGATGCAGGAGCTGGCCGGGATGAATTGACTGCAGTAGGTTGAGATGTGTTAGTAGAACCAGGCCTGGCATTGTAAGCCACAGCAGGCCGATGCGATGCCAGAGACTGTGGCCTGCGAGAAACAGGTCGAGCCTGAGGCTTGTCCAAGGTTGGAAAAGGCAAAGGTACCAACTTGACCTTCCCAGGAGGTGGCAGCTCATACTGGGATGGAGATGAACATTCATTTTCAGAACTGCCATCTGGTTTCTGGGGTTTGACTTGAGTTTTCTCAGGACCTTTGCACTCACATGGGGTATCCAGCCATCGTTTGATAGCTGGGGATGGCTGAGGGCCTTTGGAGTTGCCTGAATTTCCCAGGGCCCAGGAGGAAGAGAGTCCAGTTTTCTTATCACTCTTCTTCCCCAGTGCATGAAAAACCTGCACAGACTCCAGCATGTGCATCCCTAGGCAGCTTCGAGGCTTTTTGAAGGTCTCTTGGCTCAGTTCAGGTTGATTTTTTTTCCGCTTCATCTTGGGAATGGTTGGCTTCTCTTCTGCTTTTGCTTTGTTTCCTGACTGCTTACTCTCTTCGGCTTTCTTGGAGTTGTTTTCTCTGTTCTTTTTGGTCTTTTCCTGCCCATGGTTCTTAGTTTTGCTAATCCTGCTGGATGCAACTTTCTGAGGTTTGCTGTTAGAATGCTTGGCCATATTCACAGGAGCCCTGTCACTGGTTGCAGCATTGCAAATAACCACATCTCCCCCTAACAGGCACTGTGGGTTCTTAGCCTGGATTTTGGCCTTGGGAGCACCACTGATAGGCTCAGAGGCTTTATGTTTGTTCTTCCTAGCTTGATCAGAGGGAGCCTTTATGACATTTGACTTTTCCTGCACCTGGTTCAGCTCGATGGCTCTGCTATCTTTGACTTTGATCACTTTGGGACTTTTGGATTGATCAAGGTCATTCAAGGAATTGAAGAGTTGAGGAAGGTGAATATCCTCCACCAGTGTAGTAATGTCTGCAAAATCATCATTAGATTCAATCCCATTTTCAAGTGTCCCTTGGTCCTTAAGACTCAGGCTATTCTTTCCCAGATCAGCATTTTCAGAACCAGGCAGCTCTTCTTGGCCAAGGGGATCAATGCAGGCCAGGAGCTGGTGAATATCAGGGATTTCTAAAGGGAGCAGTGGGGGATCGTGGTTTTCTCTTGGAATCTGGTAGGCATCCAGAGGCTTTGAAAGTTTAATTTTAATATCCAAATTCTTATTCTCTTTTTGTTCCTGGCTTGGAGCTGGAGGCAGTGCTAAGAGATTGTTAGAACTCTGGACTGGAGCTACCATTGAAATGTCCCCAAGCTCAGGTGGTGGGTTACTCTCAAGTATCTGGATATTTCTGCTACTGCAGGACTTGGGCAATTCTGGAGTTTGTGGTAGACAAAATGTTTGGCTTGGAGGTTGCAATCCCAGGGACGTCTCCATCCCCAGGGAAGTTTCCATCACTACAAAGGAACCAAGGAAGAAGTCAGTCCCTGGTAAGATGCTCCCCCTATCACCAATGCAGCAATCATGCACCTTCCGACAATGGGAAAGGCATTTCTACCAACTCTTCCTAAGGATCATGGACAGCGCCCTATGCTAAAATATAGGAAGAACTGTTCTAGTTCTTACTGGTGAGCATTTATGTCATTGTTTCTTGGTTTTCTTTATATTTCACAGCGTTTTGATACATCAAATAAAAAATAAAAGTGATTTCTAAAATGTTTTACAAGCTTAGCATTCTCATATGGAATCTTGCAATTCTTTCCACTTTCCTAAGAGAATTAAGAATGCTTCACACCATAAACTAGGAGAGGGAATGGAGCTCTTCCTGATGAAATGTATAAGCAAGGACAGATTCTCAGCCTGCTTGCTCTGGGCAAGATCTTGGAACACAATGTCCCGTTGTAAATTAAGCAAATGAGGGAAAGTTAGACTGACGCTATCAAAATGAGAATTCTGAAATGCCTTCCAAAGAGACTAAAGCAATAGATCAGAGAAGGGAGTTCATTACCGTGTGGTAGTGCAGTGGGACTGATCGGGTATGCTCTTGGGGTTCTCATATATATAGCATACATGGCCATTGCAATGTCCCACCTTACCACCTCTATTAGATGTTCTTATATACTGTCCGAAAGTGGAGAGCACTGAGTGAGGGCGGTGGTTATTGAAATCTCAGGACTTAAATTCTACCTATCTGTGGACTCGCCACTTCCCCGCTGCAGATCTGCCTTATTTTTTAAGGCTGACCATACTTCTCTCTCTTTTTGCTGTTTGTACTCACCTTGAAAACTTGTCTCAGTGATGGGTTGAGCGGACACAGAGTAATAGATTCCAGAGGCGGAGGCTGGTGGTAGGACATTTGTAGGCTGAACCTCTTTCAGTACCATGACCATTTCTGGTTGAGGGGCAGAGGCCCTACTCCCTGTGTATGATGTGGAGCCACAGGGTTGCAGGCAGGGGCCAATTTCTCCAGACAGTAAAGGCCCCAGTGTGCCTTGATTATAGTAATATACCTGACTTCCTTCCTGGTAGGGAAGTGACAGGCTATGTCCCTGATTTGGAATCTGAGATGGTGTCCCCTGAACAAGACTGGCAGAAAGGGATGGATACAGAGGGACCATATTGTTGGCATCCGAAGTTTTATCATATGGGGATGCCAGAGACATGGAAGAAACAGCTGCATCCTGATCAATAACAGTTACAGTGAAGTCTCCAAGTGATGACGACTTCTTTTCAGTGCCCCTTGTGATATCCCATTCAAAAATCCCTGGATAGGTAGCGGCTGAAGTGGAAATCTGGCTCTGACCAGTAACTCCAGACAACATAGTTGTGCTACAATGTTGGTAAAGGTAGGCACTACCCATGAGTGGCTGAAAAGAGGTGCCAGAGGCTGATGGCAGTAGCCATGCTGAATTGACAGCTGGAGCAGAGACTCTGGAGAAATTGCAGACACTTCCTGTTAGAGATGCTGCATTGCTCACTACAGGAAGTGAGAGCTGCAGAGAATTTGGAGTTCCAAGTAAAGGTGGATTTTGGAAATTCTCTGTAGGGAACAAGAGGGTGATGAAAAAAATCAATGGGCTTGATAAACTCTTACTATATTTGAGGAGTAGCATTATCTTAAGGTTGTTACTATCGGGAAGTCTCTAATACCAATACTCACTGAAATAGCAAAAATCAAACAGTTTATGGTGGTTGTAAGTATTAGAGCAGTTTGCTGCTCTTTTGTATTAACTGTCTGTGCTCCCATCTTTGGCACAAATGTGCAAAAGACCCAAGTGGTATGGTTCGTACATGGTTTTCTAGGCTAGAAGCAAATGCTCCCTGCCCTATCTTTTCCTTGAGGCTGCACTAGTATTGACTTGTATGCAACTTCCTAGAATTGAAACATTTTAAACCCAGGAGTCTTTAGAGAACCTCTGCTCTAACATTCTCATTTTATAAGTGAGGAAACTGAGACTCAGATAGGTCAGATAGACTTGTTCAGGTTCTCTCATTATGTTAATACCGTCACCAGGTTATATAACCTAAGCATCCTGACTTCCTTGCTAGGACTCTGCTCTGAGCATTATATTGCTCCAAACTGGGAGCAATAGAACTTCTAAATAGGTGTGTGTGTGTTTTTTTTTTTTTGTCCATTAGAAGACAGTACAGCTATTACCACTGTAATCTTCAGTGTCTCATTTTGCTTATGCAGTTCACATGCTGTTCCCTAGAATTCACATATAGCTCATTCCAGTTGGTAAATTTAAAGGGTCATTCTTATCCGCTTCAAGCTTGGTTTCTGATCCTACCTCAAAATGACTATCAGAGAGTGAGTTTCTCAAGAAATTCTTTTTGCGAGAAAAATGTTATTTAAACTCTCTGAGCTTTAGGTTACTCATCTATAAAGTGGTTATAATAATAATAACAATAATAATTCATACATGAATAAGTGATATATTACATATGATTTATATGAAAAAAGATACAATAAATTCTAGAAAAACAAAGAAAAATCATGAAAAATGTATCAGAATGAAGAAGAAATATAGAGATAATGAAAACTGGGGTATGTAGCAAGCATCAAAGCATAATAAACTTACTAATAAGTGAAGTTCTGTATCATACATGCAATATTAAAAAAGTGAATATTACCTACTCTTTTAGTGAATACTGTTAACCAAAAAACAGCCCACAAAAGATGATGATTTTGAATGAATTCCTAGACATTACATACAGAGAAGATATATCAGGAAAATTGCATAACAAGCAGCAAAACGCAATCAATGTGAATGGATAGGTAGCCCCAATGTATGTAGACAAATATTTTGGTAAAAATTAGTACAAAGCAGAGAGCTAAATAAGTGGCAAGAAATTCCATCATTGTGCTCATTCATGTTTTTCTGAATGTTACCCAGCAAGTAACAGATATTAAGCCTAGTAGAAATATATATTTCAATTAACATAACCACATAATAAACAGAAAAGAACACTTAAAAAGTATTGTGAAGATTTTTGTATTTATCTTAAAACCTAGATTACAATCATCTTCAACATCCAAGGAAGTGTTGTCTCCAAAGTCTTAAAATCCATCATTGCTAGAATCTAAGTTTAAAAAATTAATGTAGGAAAACCCAGAGGAATCCACAAAGTTGTTTTTATTTTTATTTATTTATTTATTTTTTAGGTGTGGCAACCCCTGGTTGACTTCACAGATTATAAGGACCTTGTCATCTTACAATCCCTTATTTTTTTTTTTATTTTTTATGCCTACAGCACCTGGTCTTCACAGGTGGTCCCCGATCCAAGTACTAACCAGGCCTGACCCTGCTTAGCTTCTGAGATCGGACGAGATCGGGCTTGTTCAGGGTGGCATGGCTGTAGCAAAACTGTTTTTAGATAAATGTGAAATTAGAGATGTGGGGCTTGACTTTTTCTTTTTCCTTTTAGGTAGCTAAAAATCTAAACAGAGATGATGGCTGTTTGTTAGTACGCTCTCTGAGTTAGGAAGAAAATAACTGTAAAGATGAAAGCAGCTTTGACTTGGAACCTGCAGTAACACAAAGGAATTAGTCCTTCTGATTCAAGGTAGGAGATATAATTAAAAAAAAACTTAATTTTATTTTTAATAAGCAAAATATCTGCATAGTTTAAAAATCAGAATGAAATGAAACGCTGGAAATTCTGTTTCTTCCAGCCTCCTAGATAACTACCTTTATTAGTTTCTTGTGTATAGGAAGCATCATTTCTAAAATATATTTCTAAAATGTTTATATTTAAAACTGTCAAGTGCCATCTGTGTTCAGAGAGGTAACAGAAAAACACAAACACAAACTGAATATGACTTCTTTGATAAGATACTTTCCTAGTAATACCCTATTCTGGCCTTACTTTCCTTTTTAGTCAATTAATGTAAGCATTTGCTAAAATCAACTTTATTATATCCTGCTCTGAGCAGATTTCACCCTGTGCTCTTTCTGCTTTAATTTAAAATCTTCAGTTCCCTTCAACATTCCGTCATCCCAAACTACCTCTTCTTTTGTTCTTGAGAGCTCCTCCATGCTCTCCCTCTTCATTTTTTTATTTTTTGTTCCCTCATTCTTATATTTTCTTCTCCCTCTTGGTTCCTGTTGGGCTGTGCTGATGAAAACAATCCTAAACTTCCTTACTTTTTAATACTTGCCTCCCTATAGCCCAGCACTCTCCGTACTCTTTCCTTATTTTCTCTTTTCACCTAGTTTAGATAGAAAACTTCAAGACAGGTGAATATTACTTTTTGAATAGCACTTAATTTAAAATAGTAAAGTTGAAATATTAGTGGTGGGAGACTATTACACATGAGACTTCGTGTACATATTGCTGGTTTTCTATGTCACCCTAGGTTTTCTCTCTGTTTCTGTTGAAACACTCTCAAGAAGTCTTTGATTTCATTTTCTATATGGGTGTCCTTTAAGACTTAATATTAGAAAAGAAAGGGATTAGAGGTAACAACCAATCTAATATCCTAATGTAACAGATGAGGAAAAAACAGATTTTGTAAGAGAGTCAATGACTTGTCCAAAGTCACACAGCTAGTAAATGTCAAAATCAAAACTGAAATTAGATTTCCAGATTTCTAGTTTAATACTTTCCCCCATTATTCTATGTTATTTTGACTCTACTGCTATATTTAGGGACAAAAAAAATCTAATGAAAAACTTTAAAAACTTTCTTTTCTTACCTGACATGGTCAGAGAAGAAGAAGAAACATCAATTGCAGATACAAGGGATGATGGGATGATACTAGAGGACGTCTGAGTGGCTGAAGCCAAAGTGCGCATGTGCCCAATAAGAAAGTTACTGGTCACACTGGTCACTGGTCACTTGCGATGATCCAATTTTATTTACAGACAGCTCCATGGAAACTCCTACCTTCTACCAGGTGGTGGTAGGTTTGGTGGGAGAATGATGTCACAAAGCAGGCAGTTTAAAGGTATGACAGAACCAATAGGGAGGTCAGATTCCCAACAAGAAGACAGGATTGGGTGGAAGGAGTGGTAGGGGAGTTAAACCACACCTAACTGGCTAGGCTTCAGGGATAGATGTGATAGTCTACAAGACAGATATGATAGTCTCACTTTCCCCAGCCTCTTATGTTAGGGAAATAATCTCAATGTTTCTTATGGACATTCATTAATATAATTAACTAGTAGTTGCTTATATTCTCTATATTATACTTTATAACACATATTATATATTTACAATTATACATACTGTTAATTAATAGAGAGGAAGAAAAGGGACATCTAGGTTGCACAATTAGAGTTGTTCTGATAGCCTATTATCCCATCTAATTAGTGAATTTACTGCAGCTGTAAAGGAGCAAAGGATGGAATTAAGGAGCTTCTTTTGTAACTTGGTTAAAGAGTAGGGAGAAGTTTGTTGAGTGCACCTTGTGGAAAATGATGTGGTCCAAGGCTCTGTTCTTTCAGTTTGTTTTTGAATTCTACCTTCCTTGGGCTGGGCTGGGCTGGGCTGGGCTGGGCCACATCGAACTTGCATCATTCTTCTGCTCTCCTTTTTTCCTCTTCTTCATTATAGACATTGCTTCTGAGACAAGCTTGGATTTTGCATTCTTACACTTATGAATCTTATGTCCTGTTGCCTTCCAGCAGCAGGGGTCTTCTTTTCAGTGCCCGATGTTTCCAAAAATGAACTCTGCCCATTAGAAGCAAATACCAGAGAGCTAGGAAACACAGCTGATTGCACATCTTTCCTTTTCCAGCCTTTGGTTGCAATTCTTTTGCCCATAATTTGCTACCTCTGGTTTCTTGGGCCACAAAGATATCCTGCCATCCTGCTCTTTTGTATGTGAAAGGCATTCACAATACTTCCCTTTTCCTTTCTCACATAGGTTTATCCAGTGTGGCAGTTATTGTAGTCTTCTTCCCCTTTGCAAACAGCCACTGTAGAATCTTGGGACTCTAGAATTCTCTGTCTGCTCATGCTTAGGTTCAAGGCCAGAAAAAATGAAGAGGAGAATAGTTAGAGAAAGAAGAGGACATTCATGGAGAATAGGGAACAGGCAAGGTGAAAGGGTACAGTTAAAAAGAGATTCATGTGGATTTTTTGGTTTCTGTGAGAAACAAGCTGACACATTTTGGTTTCGTTTTGTTTTAACAGAATAGAAAATTTAATATATATATTTAATGTAAATATATATATTTAATGTAAATATATATATTTATATTTACGTAGCTAAATAGTGTAGCAACTGTCACAAAGTCTGTACACCTAAGAGAATGATCTTAAATATATTTTTCACTTTGTTTTATGTCATATTATCTCACTTATATCATTTTTTGGTATG